GGGCAGCGTGTGCAGCAGAATCAGCCGTCTTTGATTTCTCTCTCAAGGACGACTGAATGTCCCCTCCTGGACAAAGATGTGGACATGTTTCTGAAGACCCCCCCTCCCACCTCCTCTCTGTCTCTGTCTCTGTCTCTGTCTCTGTCTCTGTCTCTGTCTGTCTTCCTCTTCCTCCTCCTCAGTTCAACCAGAACAAATGTCGCTCCAACAAACATGGCACTTTATATACTGTAAGTAGGAGTGGATGGACTGAGTATGTAGCCTGGGGACAGTGAACGCATCAGACTTGAGGATCAACCCCCCCGCCCCTCCTCTCTCTCTGGGGGGGTCCAGTCAGTGCCCCCCCCGTGGGTGTCCTAATCCAGGGCAGATTGAGGTTCAATCCCAGTAATAACTGACCCAGGTGTAATAACCCTCCTATTACAGTAAACATTACTATTATTATTTATTATTGTTATAAATAAAATACATGCAATGCTTTAAAAAAACAACAACCAAAAAAACCAACGCGGAGCAGGATGGGAGAGCAGAACGTTTCAACAGTCACTGAAAGTAAAATCCACCTGAAAACAACAACAACAACATCTTAGTTTGTTGTTTTGAAGCTTCTTATTCAGGGAAATGATTTTGACGCCTGCAGAGAAACATGTAGCAGAAGTTATTTTGAGAATAAAAAAAACAAAACGCTTTACGAGTTACTAAAGTTACTTTACGGTTTACGAGTAAATGAGTAAGAAAAGTGACAGAAGTAAAGAGTGTTTTCCAGTTTGTGTTACGTGTTTTTCTTTTTTTTTGTATTCACTTCTGTACAACACGGTTAATTCAAAGAACTGTTTCCTGAAAAACTAGTGCAGCTGCTCAGCTGAGGGTGGATTTAGACGAGAGTGTTACAAAGCTAACGTTAGCTAAGACAGTTAGCCGTCTCAGAGTTTACATCGTCATCTGTGTTTGAAGTTTGACGTTGATTCACTTCTGTCCTTGGATCCAGTGATTCATCAGAAGAAAAACTAAACATCGAAATACATTTTCATTAAGATTCATAATTCATAATTACAACGCCCTCTAGTGGCACAGTGTAGTTCAAACCTGTCCTCTGTGGGGGACATTAGTGGACAGGGATCTGTCCAGGTGCAGCTCTTCAATCAAACCAAATGGACAAAAACTGGGCGGAAAAAAAAATGTGATTGGACGATATTTTCCCCTCTGATTTTCTGGAGAATAAATTTCATTCATTCTTNTTTCAGATTTGATCCTTTTTATTATTTTATAAATTATAATCAGACATTTTGAGGTCTTTTTGACCAGATGATGATGATGATGATGATGATGATGATGATGATGATGTTTTTTTGTTAGACATTATTTTAAGGACCGACTTTGACGTTTATAAAACTTTGTTCTTTTGTTTTCCCAGTTTTTTTAAAGGTGGATTTTTCCTTTAAAAAAAACAAAGTCCTTTAATCATTGACACTGAACGTGTGTGTGTGTGTGTGTGTGTGTGTGTTGGCTCGGAGTCTGTGTTTGTGTGGATTCCATGCAACACATGACTCATATTGTTTACATGCACTGGTGTGTGTGTGTGTGTGTGTGTGTGTGTGTGTGTGTGTTTGCCAATAACTTCTCTCCATCGGGGGGCGTAGGTGTGTGTGTGTGTGTGTGTGGGGGGGGGCAGCCATCTTTAATCTGACATGTATTATTCATCGGTGGTGAGAAGCTGAGGTGTGTGTCTCTGACCTGATCATCAATAATTCATGGTCTATTAATCTAATAATGTCGTCTGGAAACAGGAGCTTCAACCTACACACAAACATCAGCCCAGGAGGACAGAGCTTGACATTTGGACCTTCTAGCACCACAACATGGAGGCAAATCCAGATCCATGACTGGAGGTTTCTGGTCTGGTTTGGTTTTTTTTTTGGGGTTAAATTTGACAGTGATGTGATGCTGTTGTCACGGTGCAAATGTGGAAGTCTTTGAGTCACGGAGCGTGTGAGAGGATGCAGTGAGAGGGAGTCTTACATGTCGTCCACTAATATACTGCCTGTTGAGCTGAAATGGAAGAATCGAAGGTGTTAGGACCAAACGACGGGGAAATGGTCACAACACGGCGTCTCATCTCATCGTCCAACGACACACGTCGTCATGCATTAACATGCAGCTCCATGGAAGTCACATCCTTGACTCTATTCAGCCCCCCCCCCCCCCCCACACACACACCCCCACACCCCCCACTTTAAATACAGTCCAAACAACAGGAGTTTCTCTCTGCTCTTGTGAAACTTACCTGAGACGCCAGGACAGCCTCTGAGTCCAGTTTGGGGTTCGATTCCACAGAATTCTTATTTGACGACTCCGACTGGTTTTTACTGTCCAAAGCCCTGAAGTGATGAAGAGGAAGAGGAGTGAGGAAGAGAAGTACTCATGAAGTGTCTTCTTTACTGTGGACTAACACCTACCACAGGAACTCGTTGGATGAATTTTTGGACGGTCGTCGTCGTTCCAGCTTCCACTTCCTGTTCCCGTTCCTCTCAGGGTTGGGGTTCAACTCCTCCCATTTGTCCAGTGAAGACTCAAAGGTCACTGGTGGAACATTTGAACAACATCAACAACAACAACAACAACATCAACATCAACATCAACATCAGGTCCAGCTGTGTCTAAACCAGAACAGAAATGTTCTTGGATTCAAACGTTCAAAAGTAAAAGTTCTCGTCGGTCTCACATGAATTATTCAACACGTTGCCGTTCGACTCACACTCCGTCTAATTACTTCTCATTCTCGACATCAATCTTTTCAACTGGCAAAGTAGTAATTGGCCCCTTTTTATTTTAATGTCTTTTCAGATGATTCCTTTCATTACAGTTACATTACTCGGCCTCTCTGGAACGTCTGTTCTGCAGGCAGAATAAAAGATGCAATCTGTAGGGAGGGGGGGTGTGTGTGTGTGGGGGGGTATCTGAATTTTTGGAGAAGCTGGAGGACGTGGTTGTTAAGGTTAAAAAGAACCACATTTTCTCATTTTGAGGTTCAATAGCCGTCCGTGTTAGTCTGGGACGACGGGGATGAAAAGCCTTTCGTCAGATGAATAAATTCACTTGACTTTTTAATCATCGTTTTGT